AAGCTCAACAAGAGGCCACTGTTTACCTATAAACGGTGCAGTTGTACAGTGTAGAGGGGAGAATTTTGTTGGCCTACTGTTAACCATCCAGATCTTCAGACTTTTAGTCAAGAACAAAGTGTGTAAATAGTCCTCCATGATTGCTACAGACTAAAGTTATGTGTGGTAAGGCCTTTTACTTTGACTCTAGTCTTGTAACATCTATTACAATTTCTTATGCAACAGTTTCACCAGTAATTCCTGTTTCAGGGGAAGATCATGAAACATTACTAAAGCAAGCATTTGGATGTATGCCACGCATAAAAAAATCAAAAATTGGAGTGAATCATGTGTATAATTAGTTTTGTGAATATATGTAATGTCTGTACACATTTAACTTAACATCCATAACAAAAGTCGAATATGATAATTGATATCCAGAGCAATGAATTGTTAATGCTTACATTTGCACTGATTTACAACATATTGAAATATTTTAATAGAGATTTATTTAACTCAGTGGTATTACTCAGCATGCCAGTGTAGGTTATGACTCATCGCTTGGTTACATAATTGGCCATTGTTATGCTTCTATGTGTGGATAGATAAAATTCACGTAAGGACCTGTAAGATGGAAAAGTATCAGTTGTTTAAAATTTCTTGTAGAACAGAGAACGCTGAAAGAATAGAAAGAGAACGACGAAGCAAGCCCATGGCTGGACACGTCATACAATGTCACGTAAGGGAAGCTGTGTGCATCGACAAATACTAAACAGAGGTTATGATGATTCTAGTCAAGAAGATGAATCCAATGAAAATTCTCTTTGCTTGTGAGTGGGAGGAGAAAGTTGCACCGAAATGCTAGGGCAAAACCGAAAACTTCCACGTCAGATTAGCAACGAAACATTAAGAGCTTCTGTCAGATCCCAGAAGACGTCATGGCCGCAAGCGAGATTGAAGAGAAAATCGAATAAAACCAAGACATTCTGCAAAAATTGCCTCGGGACAAAGTAAACGTGAAAGTCGCGGTGCAGCCCGACCACTCAGCTTAAAACAGTGCCATCTCTGACGTATAAAGGAAAAGCGATTGGCGTCTGCCGACCTAATATGGCGAAGAGACACCCAAAATGCGCCTCGTCGACGTACAGACTCTCTTAAAGTTGCGACGACCGAGATCGTTTGGATCGCTTTCACAGAAATGGAGCAGCTGGAACGTTGTCACCGGGTCTGCAGTACAAACAGACAGAGAAGACATTGTCACACTGTGGTGGATCCTGGAGCAACCATCGTCAAGGAGAATTAGGAGTGCCTTCTTATCTGCATGGTAAGGATAACGCACAAGGTCACTGTGCCGTAGTAATGATATGTGACACTTTGACATTTGTGCACTTAACGCAATTGAACGATTTTTATTTTTAATGCGTGAAATATGAGTGCCATTACATTCACATATGCACAGCTGCCCTCTGCAGCATTATTTTCAGAATGCTCCCATTTTGCATAACTCACTGCTTGATATGATAGCAAAATACTGTTTGCAGTTCCAGCAGGGCCAGCTATGACCATTTGTACCAGAACCGTTAACACTAGGCTACAGTTATCCGAAAATATTATGAAATAGATGATGGATAATGTAAACAAAGTAATTTGCACGACTTGATTCGATTGAGCGTGTTTTCACACCTTTATTTTACTATCCGCAATCTTCACGGTAAATGTTTATTTGCACCCGTGCGTGTTTGACGTTACCAGAAACTATCAGCTGTTTACTCGAATGCAAATGTGGACGTATCCAATTAGTATTTGCCCCCATGGCTGTAACTTGTTTGTTGCTCGTCAAACTAGTAGCTTTGAAGGTAGAGCTGCGACACGACTGGACTGTGCACGTGTGCAAACTGCGTCAGAATAATCATACAGCACGTACACACCGATTTCAGTGTGCCTCGGGTCCAACGACACAGTTGTTATTGCTTGCTAACTTAGTAAGCAATAAACACATCCGTTTTGTAAACGACCTTGCAGGGCAGTAACCCGTGTTGTCGTTAGTGTGGTCGTTTATTTGTCGGCATCTAGCTGAGTGCTAAGGGAGGACCATCGTTAGGTGAAGTTTTTATGAATAAGGTGTGATTTGTGTGGGCGGTATATGACTTGAACAGGCAGTCACTCAATAAGAGATCTGACTGACAACTTGCCGAGGTAACTGGAACCATCTATCTGTTATCCTCTGTGCAATAAGGATTTTCTCACTATGAATCTATATATAGTTAAATTTTTACTGCCGTCTCCATTTTTTTTGGCAGCGCGCTCCTCTTTCTCACATCCTTGCTCTGTTCTCTTTCTGCTTGAAACGGGATTTTTTTTCTCATGCGGTTTAATATCGCTTAGGTGCAATAATTGTCATAATTAGCTTTGTTGTTTGTTCACAATATTCTATGAATGCATGTGTTCAGATTCCGTTAAAAATGCCAATTATTCTCAACGCCGTCATTCCAGACATCATCAGGTGTTCCATGCAGAGATGCGCCAGCGACCGCAGGACACGTCAGTAAGCGCAGCGACCAGGACAGCGTCAGTAAGTCCAGCGACCAGGACAGCATCAGTAAGTCAGCGACCAGGACAGGCGTCAGTAAGTCAGCGACCAGGACAGCGTCAGTAATGTCAGCGACCAGGACAGCGTCAGTAAGCCAGGCCGACGCAGAGACAGCGTCAGTAAGTCATCGATCAGGACAGCGTCAGTAAGCCACGCGAACGCGAGGACAGCGTCAGTAAGTCATCGACCAGGACAGCGTCAGTAGCCAGCGACCAGACAGGCGTCAGTAAAGTCAGCGACAGCAGGACCAGCGTCAGTAAGTCGTGCGACCAGGACAGCGTCAGTAAGCCATCGACCAGGACAGCGTCAGTAAGTCAGCGACCAGGACAACGCGTCAGTAAGTCAGCGACCAGGACAGCGTCAGTAAGTCCATCGACCAGGACAGCGTCATTAGCCAGCGACCAGGACAGCGTCAGTAAGCCATCGACAGCAGGACAGCGTCAGTAAGTCAGCGACCAGGACAGCGTCAGTAAGTCATTGACCAGGGGACAGCGTCAGTAAGTCATCGCCAGGACACGTCAGAAGTCATTCGACGCAGGACAGCGTCAGTAACCACGACACGAACCAGGACAGCGCTCAGTTAGCCAGCGACAAGGACAGCGTCAGTAAGCATCGACACAGACAAGGCGTCCAGTAACAGATCGACGCAGGACAGCGTCATTCCGCGACCAGGACAAGCGTCAGTTAGTTCCAGCGACGCAGTGACAGGTGCCAGTAAGTTCAGGACGCAGGACAGCGTCAGTAAGTCATTGACGCAGGACAGCGTGAAGCAGTAAGTCATCGACCAAGGACAGCGTCAGTAAGTCCATCGACGCAGCAGACAGCGTAGTAAGCCAGCTGATCCAGGAGAGCAGTCAGTGTAGCCACGAGCACAGGACAGCAGTCAGTAAGTCATCGACCACAGGACCAGCGTCAGTATCCATCGACACAGACAGCGTCAGTTACCAGCGACCAGCGACAGCGTCAGTAGTCAGCGACAGGACCAGCGTCAGTTAGCCAGCGAATCAGGGAGCAGCGTCAGTATTCGTCAGCGACCGATGTGCCGATTGGGGAGCCAAAGAGCCGCAGTAGTGGTCCGAATCCGGAGACAACCCGCTTAATGTACGTGCGCATCTTTGCGACCATCTTGGATATCGTGCCCTATATCATCTCCTCGTACCTGTATTGCGATACGTTGAGAACCGCATCAACAAGAGTTGGGAATACCGTTTCTTGTGATGATTGCGTCGACGAAAGGTACTTTTACGTGCGGAGGCCTCACTGCCAAGTAACCGTGTGAGGTCTTAGGAGCCACAGCTGGCGTGCCTGTCACTCGTACGAATCCTGTTAAGAAAATATACTGTAATATATATTATATAGTATATATATATATATATAATATTATATAAGAGAGAGAGAGATAGAGAGAGAGAGAGGAGAATAGAGAGGAGAGAGAGAGAGAGAGGAGAGAGAGAGAGAGAGAAAGAGAGAGCAGGAGAAGCATTAGATGAGAGAGAGAAGAGAGAGAAGAGAGAGAGAGCAGAGAGAGAGAGAGAGAGAGAGAGAGAGAGAGAGAGAGATAGAGAGAGAGAAGAGAGCGAGAGAGAGAGAGAGCGGGAGAGCCGTGAGTGTGAGAGAGAGAGAGAGAGAGAGAGAGAGAGAGAAGAGAGAGCGCGGAGAGCGTGATGAGAGAGAGAGAGAGAGAGAGAGAAGAGAGAGAGAGAGAGCGGAGAGCGTGAGTGAGAGACGAGAGAGAGAGAGAGAGAGAGAGAGAGAGAGAGAGAGAGAGAGAGAGAGAAGAGAGAGAGGAGCGGGAGTGAGAGAGAGGAGGAGAGAGAGAGAGAGGCGGGAGAGTGGGAGAGAAAGAGAGAGAGAGAGAGAGAGAAAAGAGGAGAGAGAGATGCAGAGCAGAAGAGAGAGAGAGAGAGAGAGGTACACATAATAACAATGAGCCTACTATGTTCTCCTGATTCTACAGAGTTGTTGGACGAGAAGTCTGTGCGCAAAAATAATACCCTCAAGGTTTAAGAATAGTGTATGGTAGGGAAAAAATCCCCTCAGCGCAATGTATTGTTTGGTAGGTACGTGTTGTAGTTTTCTATAATAACAGAACATGTGATTTATATTTAGCTGTTAGAATTTGAGGTACGTACAGCAAGTTCCGACAAGTTCAACACCGTGCTTGCTTGTTGGTGTGAGTGCCCAGGCATGTAAATAGTTGTTATCTTATCTGACACTATTGTTATTCAAATGTCAGTTATTTAATACATGAGTCTTTGAGCTTGATATTTCTTATAAATATATCAGTCCAAAACTACTATTGTTTGGCAGTGTTGTAGTTTGTGCTGAGTTTTGCCCTCATACTCCCGTAGTTTCGCTTATTTTGACTTATAGTGTAGGGGCTTTATAATGCCATTCCATACTTTTTAGTATTGTTTTTATTGTTCTGCAGGCATATATTTATCAGAAAAAAATGGGTCATCTCACCGCCTTGATTCCATTCACGACATTCCACTGTTAGTACACGTGATACCGAATGGCTACGTGGAAGTATCATCAACTTGCATGAGCAAGTCAAACAGCACCTCAGTCGGATCGTGGCGTGTGGCTCTTCTTCTCGCGTTTTTTCCTTCAAGTGTCTGCCTTGTTGATATCGGCACATAAACATAAAGATCGGCTGCAACCCAGGCATATCACTATTTACTGTTGCACATCCAATGGTATCAAGAGCTAATAATATCTGGTAATTGCTCTTGGTGGTATGCAAAGCACGTTACAGAGCAGAACAGAGGACTTCCTTATACGCACTTTCAACTTGCAACAAGCCATCTATGTTAAAGTTCATGCCAAAACAAAAAATTCGAGAACTTTGATCATTAAATAGCAGAGTTGTATTTGGAGACTCGTCACAAAATCCTCATAATATGGAAAAAACCCATTTTAATGCATGGTCCCATTTTTTCTGATAAAGATGTCTGAAGAACAGGTAAAACAATAGGTCCAATGATTAACAATAAACAAAAAGTACAGAAAGCAAAATTCTTATATAGGCCCTAGCACTATTATCTTTATTTTTTTTTAAAATTAAATGATGATAGACTTACTGAATAATTTCGAACGCCGTTGATATGTGTCTATGTAGGGAGGGAGAATGCTAACTTAGGTGGTGGATGTCAGAAACTTTTAACGTGCCACATTCTACTTGCTAGTAAACCTATAGTCATTCATCCAGGTGTAGCAGGTATACCAAATGCGCTCAATAAGTTTTATAATTAATCTGCCGAGCAAGGGAGAATGATGGGCCCAATTTAACGAAGGTGTACAAACTAATATCTCGGCTAGTATATGTCATAGGGGCAACCGGTACGGACTTATTTGTTGGTAATCCTGATTGTTTGATAAGCTGATGTAATATTGTTCGGAATACATGAATGATAACAGAAATTCGACTGATGCTGCATTGTTTTGCACTCATACTCTATATGTTGTTAAGTAGCTCTGGATATGTCTAATGTGGTTTTGTAAAAGCGAACAAAGTAAAAAAAATTGTTTGCTTGTTGTTATCACTGTCAACAATGAATGTAGTGAAGTATTAAACTGAGATTCATCTATTGAACAATTTACCGTTTGCTTTTATTTTACACGGCCTCAGAACTCAATATGCCTGCACATATAGCTTGTCTAAGCCTGACGATCATGATATATATTTCATTCAGCCCTGATCAATTAAAGCACAATTGTAAACATTGCTTGCTTACACAGTGTAATACTACCGTGATGATCGTTGGGCTTTGGTTTTTGGTTGTGTTATAATATATATATATATATATATATTATATATAATATAAATATATATATATATATATATATATATATTATATATATATATATATATATGTTTAACGCTGTTGATTCGCTAATACATAAGAAAATTCAAATGAAGAAAGATTTGTCTTTTGTGGGCGGCGCATAGAAAGAGTGCACCCGTGTCTGTGTTTGGAGGAGAGAGAGAGAAGGGGGGGGAGAGAGTAGGCCCTATTTAGCGAATATGAACGCCACAAGTCACTCCGTTTAGACACAATGCTCTTGCCATACTCACTTTATACGGTGAGCTAAACAACCAATTTAATGTGATTGATGGAATCTATTCATCAATCAATCTGACTATCGCTCGGCATACCTTTCTTTACTATTTCTAGCGGCCCTAGTTCGCGACATCTAACTTTCCTCACCAAATAAAACGATGTATTAAAATGCTGTGTCGTTGGTAGAATATACTGCAAAACAATATATTTTTTTATTAAAGTTATACCTTAAATGTATTGATGAATTATTGCACAGTATTAACGAGTAGTTAATATAAAACATTAAAATGCGTGTGCCTCTTTAAAAAAATTATATGCCACAACACACACACACACACACACACACACACACACACACACACACACACACACAACACACAATATCAAATATACAGCACACAAGAAAACAATAGTACGATTTTCTCATTGCAGGCATATCATCACCAAATGTGAGGACATACACCGCACGCACGAACGAACGCACGCGCACACGCGCACACGCGCACACGAACAAACGCATAAAACGCATGGTACATGCGCAGCTGGAAAAACAGAGAGAACCGACGGTCAATGTATTGTATAATAGATGGGTTAGCCTAATAACTTTATGAACGGTGGCGACAGTCTTTTCTTTGGTAAACGTATCATAAATCAACGCGAAAAACGTGCTGCATGATCTGATGTGATCTGCATAGCAAGGAGCTACATATAACATATATGTAGCTATATTGTATATATTGTATATATTGTATATTGTATATATATATATATATGTATATATATATATTATAATTGTATATATATATATATATATATGTAATATATATATTGTATATTGTATATATTTGTATATATTGTATATATTGTTATATGTAGCTCATTGCTGCATAGTAGTGGTAAGCGCGGCAGAAGCAGCGGCGCGCAGTAGCAGCGGCGCGGCGGCGGCGGGCAGTAGCGTAGTATAGTAGCAGCATATGCGGCAACAGTAGTAGCATGTAATGATAGATTCCTATCATAATTTAATAAATAATATATTACGTGTAATAATGCATGTAGCTGTCGACAACCAACTGCAACTGATGCAACTGATGCAACTGATGCAACTGATGCAACTGCAGCTGGCAATTGGTAAATGTATGTCTTCTATCGTATCGCTGCATATCCTCGAAAATTCTATGAGACGAATGCAAAGATAGTAGTATCGTTTGTTAGAATGAGATTCACGTAAATTATAGGTCAGTGTGGCAGATCTCGCGAGAGAGATGGCGGTCACGGCGTGAGGATACTAGTCTATGGGCTTATGTAATATTTTCCAGATTTGTCATTTTTTTGGGTAGATTCTTGGCACTCATGTCTAAACACATCTAGAAACTTCACTGATTAAGAAAAAAATGGGTGCCAGTTTTTCCATTAACATTTAGGGCCTCCATTTTGAATTTCAAAATGCGCCATCACCGGAAAATCTTTTTTTTTTAATAATTGCCAATTAACATAACTATTCATTCAAATGTCATACAATATTTATTCTATTTTATTTAAACTCATATAAAGGAATCAAAGATTCATTGAGACAAAAATTAGAGCACTCGAAATACTCAAAATAGCAAAAATCCAAGATGGCCACCATATTTCAGGCTTTTTCTACGTAAAATGTCATACGTTTGTACCAATGGACATTGGAAGATTTGTTGGTGTCTAACCATATGTTTTCAGTTGGCATATGAGGATTCAATAATAACAACGTATTTATGATTGGAACACTCTTTATCATCCTCCAAAACACTTAAGAGAAGTAATGTAGAAGATGTAATTCAATATAAGTTGAAAATGGATATTTTTTTTAAAGGTACGACAATGCTACATGTATGACAGGAGTTACTAGTTGTCATTGCTTCAATCATCTTCTAGATCTTCGCCAATCATTGGTGGTGTAATGTTCATAAAGCTGTCGCCTTTCCCACCACATTTGCAAAGTTCGGTACAGACCACATTGTTTCCTCTGCATGAGCACCTTCGCGAACACTTTGATTTCTCACAGTTACACCTGACGAGCTGCAGCACCGAGACTGCGGGCTGGTGCAACCTGAGAAAGAACTGTCAGTAGCTTTTTGTCTAGGTTTTGCCACCCCAAGGTCAGAGGGTCAGAGAAGTTGGTTTCAATCCATATCCTGGTGCCAGATATTAGCCTGGACATGGGCACGGCGTATATGTTGAATCCATGCTCCCTGAGTCGGTGGCAGTTCGTCAACTCCTTGTTCATCTTGAGTTGCTTGAACAAAACATCTGAGCATATTTGTTGCCCAATGTGGACTCCACTTGGACAGGAATGAGAAAAAAGGAACTCTTCACAGCCATGATAATTTTTCGGACGGTTCATCTCCTTCGCCAGACCAGCTAGTGCTATCAGGATGGCGGGCTTACATTCCAGCGAAAGTTGCAAAGCATCCCTTCTTTTCCTTTCTTGGATATGTCCTGTCGTATCACAGCCTGTGAGAGCATGCCAGTTTATCAAAGCCCTGCTGATTTCTCCGGTCGCGCTGTAGGCTGTAGGAAGACTTTTCGTCGTCTTTCGCTTGTCCCATGATTAGACGCAGAATGGTTGCCAAGTAGTGGCGTTCTTCGTAGAGCCAAAGAGCACACATCTGTGTCTTGAGAATATATGTGGACCTTTATCCGTCTGCTCGCAACTTCTACAGCATGATAAATAATAAGAGTGTCCGCCTCTTACCTGTGTGCTGACACCGGGCATTATTCACATTCATATATTCGTCATGACCTCCTGCCGTGTTGCCAGTCATGACCTTGGACGCTACTGTAGCGATAACGCTGATGGAAAGGTAGAGCAGTTAGCGAATCCTTTGTGCTGCTGCTGCAAGAAACATCTTTCTGTCTTTGATGCCCGTTTGGTCTTGAACTATGTAGGATTTAGTTACCCCCACATTGCCTTTCCATCGCTCTCTAGTCTGTTTCTTCATTGATTGCTTTCATTGGTGTAGTTATCAAATATAACTGCACTTGACAATATCCTTGAGCCTTTGAGTCAATGATGTGACGAAGGATGCTTCAGAAGCTCTTTGCAAGTCTTTGAAATTCTTGATTCGCCATCTACCTCCTGTACACTCCATTCCTCAACACAAGACACGCTCCAATCCCTCTTAAACTCGGTAAGGCTGTGCCCAAGAAGTTTGAACTGCTTGTCGTGGCACCAAATCTTCCAGGAAGCTTTATCACTGTGATCTTGTCTGTAGCTGGGTATGGAATAGATCCATCGGTGCCATGAGAAGCTTGTTCGTGTAGGCAAACTCATGCATGCCAATCACTTCTTCCAGATCGGACACTCTCTCGACGCATGGAGCCGCAATAACAGCAGTCTAGGCTAAAAAGTGATGTGGTTGCCTTCAAGCCGTTCAAACCTCAGACGTCTTGTGTTCAATTAATCGTCTTTTGCAGGCAGACATCCATGCTTCTGCTTGAACTTTGGTCCATCCTTGTCCCACAATTGCGACTCCAGATGATCGTTCCTCTATCAAACGTTTGTAAGCTTCATGCCATTTTCCTCTGTTGCCTAGGATACTATTGGCTAAACGTCGTCTGGGGATGATCTCGCTTTGAAATGCAGTTTGTACATGCAGCCTCTGCAGTCGCGAGTTCTCGGCTACCAGCGCTCTGTTTTGATCTATAAGTTGCAGGCTGCTAACCTGACTTTCAGGCTGAGAGCAATGGAGCGCTTTTGGCGAGCAATTTTTGACAGAGAGTTGATGATGCTGTGGTGGTGCATATTGTAGGGCAGTAGTAGCCTAAAGTCGTTCTGACTCCATCATCAGCAAGTCGTGCCACTCCGCCGAGGCAGTGAGACCAAAACTTCAAGAGGCGTGCTGGCAGATGTTGTTCATTCCAGCAGATCCCTCCTTGCGCCTTTTCGTTTCGATTTGTTTGAAGGTGTTCCATCGGCATGATCAACACCAAATTCGCCATGTGAATGAAGACTGTTGCTGGTATTCACTGCAAACTCACCAAATTTTGGTGAAGCTCTGGCCATAGAGCTTGCATCAGAATTTTATGGCATCCATGCACCATGTAGCCGATGACTCTGGAATGCTTTTGAGCATAATCTAGCGGCTGTGGCATATGCAAAAAAGTACTTTACAAAGATGCTCAAGTGATACCAAGTAGAGGTGCCAGCTTACCTTCCCGTATAGCGCTCGTGCGAATTTACCAGTGTCATCGCCTGCCGCATGTCATCTAGCCCGCATTGAACATTAGCGTCTGTCTACGACATAGCGTCCAAACTCTCGTAGCTGTTCTCCAAGATTGAAAGATTCTATATTCATTTGAATGCTAATGCCTGCTCTGCAACGCCTGTCTTATCCCGGCATGCTTCAGTCAGCTGCTTTACACTGGCTACCAAGCGTCCATGTACAACAGGCTTGAGTCCTTAAGCATTTCTCATCCAGAAGACAAAGAGTGGCCTTGAAGAGTTAACTGGCTGCGCTTCGATCGCTCTGTTGTAATTGAAATTGCCAATTTAAAACTG